TGAAATTCTATCCGTCACCAAGCACTGAGGGATTACGTGCCCTCCCATTTAAGGCCCTCCCATTTTGCTGGTCAGGGTTTTCTTTCCCCTGAGTTCGCGCAGGCGCAATGCTATCTCACGTAATCCCTCAGTGCTTGATGACGGATAGAATTTCAATCAAACTTCAACTTACAGGTAAGTCTCGTTTAATTTTCCAATTATCCTATCCTATCCTATCCTATCCTTGAGCTTGGCCTAAAATATCATGACCCTCCCCCTCTTGTATAAATGATAAAATCTAGTTCTTGCAATACACTAGGGTGCGTCAGTATTACGAAAACTCAAAATATATTTCTAATCTGTTCTTTGTCATGCTACATACATACATTTTCGATGACAGCATTAAGAGTCCGACTGATCACTCGACTCTCCTATTTCTCCCAATACAAAGTCTTCATCACTAGAACAAGTGGGTAATGCCTCATCCCCTTCATCTACCTCACATTCATCATGATCATCCACCTCTTCCACACTAAGGGAGCATTGTTTGTTTGTTTTTGTGCTCTCAGCAAATGACCGTGAGTGATCCATAATAGCATTGACTTTCTGTGGCTTGTTTTTACCCTTCACTGCAAGCAAATTAAGTTTATTGATGTATTTGTCCAGAACACATACACGCTGTTTCGCTAGTGTTCCACTATTCCTCATAAGACATTGTGTTCTCTTTCAAATTCTTGTTTTTCTTTTCCATTTTTCTCTTCCCACTCATCATCTCTAAATGATTTAAATGTGCTAGGTATTTTCTCACAAGACTTTCTTCAACAATGTATCTGTTGCTAAAGGTCTGAACACTTGCACTATCCTTGATATTGATTTCATTCTTTTTGTGGGCTTGCTTTAAACGTGCTCTAGGGTGATAATCATCCACTTCTCTTCTTTTACCGTCGTCTGTATTTGTGATGGGTATTTCTGCAACAGGCAGATAGTGATACTTTGGAAGTTTGTTGATGTCTGGAACTGGACGAGGGGTGGGACCCACTGACTCATTTTCACAGTACTCGTGAAACATTTCTCCAGTAATCATACAGGATTCTATGAGGTCATCTAATTTTTTGAAATAGTTCTGACCTGGGACTTTTACTTTTCTCGTCTCCGACTTTGCAGCATTGTATTGCTGAATGTATTCGGTATTGAAAAAGAACTGCTGTTCTTTACGATTGGTAACAAAGGCCTTCATACAGTCACCAGCTGGTCCAGGCTCACCATCGATTCTTGACACAACATCCTGGGCAACTCTCCATGCATTACGCTCCACTACTTCTGCCTCTAGCTCTTTCATTTCTTCAACTGTGAGTGTTTTCAGTTCTTCTTCACTGATGAGATCAGTTGGATGAAAGTATTCCCAGTGTAATGCTCTGCCATCAACCAAAGCTTCACCTATAGCAGTGTTAGAACGCTCCGCTTCATTTTGTCCTGAATCGTGTGGTGCCCTGTGAATCCTGTTCACGTGAGTCCAGCTATTAATCCTTGACATCTCAATGTCTCTGTACTTAACCTCGATGTTAGTGACCCCAACCCCTGGACCAGCATCTGTTGCTTGCAAAATATGGTCACAGAGTGGTGGCAACTTGAGACTGTTGATGAATGCAATCGCAGTATCACAAAGGTTAACAGCCTTTTCTTGATGTTCCCAGATAGTATTTGCACTTAATGTTGAGCTGGTCTTATCGATGTCATCATTCACTTCCTGGATGTCGTTGATAATGCCTATGAGCTAAGTTCCACTGGCAACTTCATGGTGGATGAGTGTTTCTTTCTCTTCATGGAAAATACTGACTGCTTCAGACAGCTGGTTTTTCAACCACTTCAGCTTTTTCATTTCATATTCTTTAAACTGACAATTGATGTCACTTGTTACACACATGACGTCACTTCTGAGTGAGCAATCTTTGAAATAAAATAATATATCATGAACACGATGACAAAATTTCCTCACAGGCAATGAGAACTTTGGTGGTGATATTGGAGATTGTTCAAAAACCTGAGGAACTTCCCATTTAATCTTAAGTTGATCAGAGGCCCATACACTTCCTGAGCTACCAACGTAGCTCTTAGGAAGCACAGTTACAATTGTTTGATCGTCTTCGTGAATAAACTTTTGCTCTCCGTCAATGGTTGCAACTTTGCCTCTTAGAAACCTAAAAGAAGATGGTGTTTGATGTACTTTTGCCTCTGTAAAATCATGTTGGGGAAGCGCTTTTTGTTTTGAAGGGTCGGACACATCATATATTACTCCCTTTTTGACATTCCTGGCTCCCACATCACTTCCAGGCCTGATGTATGCTTTGTCATCAAAACTGATCATTAGACTTCTAGCCCTATTCTCTTCTTTGAACATGTCAAACTTACAATTGCGAATATGTGCCCTTTGATGATGGGTTGCTAGACCTAGTTCAGTTTCAGTCTTAGGGGGCTTTTTGGAACAAAATAGAGACTTCCCACAATGTGCCTTTGCTGCCCTGGAATTTATATTTTTTGGTCTACTTCTGTTAAGTACAGTAGTAGCCGATTTGATCAGCTTTTTACCACGCCTGTATAAGTTATAGTTAGCTAACGACAAAAAGTGGCACTTCTTAACGGGATGATGGCTGTAAAGTACAGTATCATGACGTCTACCATGTGCTGTGCTTGTTTCTTCTATAGAACGTGCTATGAATTCTTCATCTTCAGTATCCAACGACTTCTTTGCCCCTGCACCGAGTTTTCGTCTTTTCACTCTGTTCTCATCGATAAGTGTTTTAGCTAATCTTTGCTTCCTTTGTTGCAGTCTTCTAAGACTCTGAGGGTCACTTTGTTGCAGGTCTTTCTGTATGCCTTCTTTTCTGTCTTCAAGGCTTGACTTTTCTGCAATGAGATCTGCTTTTTTTCTTTCAGAAATCAAGCTTTCTCTTCTGCTTAGGATTTTGTCAATAGCTGTTATCTTTTCATCAATTACTTTTAATTTCTCTCCATCTCGTAGTTTTAGAATGTCCTCTGCTGCTTCATTAGCTCTTTCACATTCAGTTGATGCAGTCACAACTTTATTGAGCAACTTAACAGCATTGTCTGGCTTAATGCCTAGTTCTTGAACCTTCTGATTTCAGCCATTATGGCGAGTCAACTTTGTGAAGGTAGTGAATGTGTGAGTTCAAATGATCAGTTGATATCTACTTTTTTGAAGTTTGCGGACTTGGCGAAGTTTGAGCAATTATTTAAAAGGTTCGGGGTGTACAAATTTGACCATTTAGCAGATGTACAGGTTGAAGATCTACACAAGTTTGGTAATTTAAGCTCGTTTCGTATTTCGTTTCGACACTGATAATATTCTAATTGGGAGAGCTTTACTTCTCATTGCTCCACAACTGAATTATTTTTAGGTCTTACTGATATTGAGATACGGCGATTTACTCGAAAAAAGCATGAATTTGGATTGAAGTATTCAAATGGCAGTACACTTTCTAACTTGCTTCAGCCCGAGATCGACCCCGTTCAGCTTACCGATCATATGGGACCTCTCAAACTGTATCGACCACCTCCTGCATGGAAATCTGCATCAATGGGATTCATCCCTAATGCAAATACAACAAGAGCTTTGTTTATGAATTCTTTTCTTCCTGAATTTTACAAGGCAAAGTACAAGCACTGTCAAAATTGTAAAACAATTTCATGGGACAGGACGACAGCTTTACCAATTGAAGCAACAAATTGATGGTATTGAGAAACAAATAGACTCTATGATGAATAAAGAAAATCCTGCCGCAGTAGGAGCTGTTTTTGACGGTGGTTATAGCTTAGTTCCTAGTGATAATATCAGAATTACCACCAACATTGGGAAAGGCACACAAATAACTTCAAAACTGAGTTCTCTTCTTGATGAAGTTAAAATTATGGACAACAAACTGTTCAGTTCTTCGGGGAAATTGAAACATGGAGAGGAAGCTACCCATAAGTTATTTGAACAACAGATTGGCAAAATCACCATTCTCCAAACAAGAGTACATGATATTAACAACAGCCTTACAGAATTGAAAGAAAAATGTTCCAGGCTCTTTAAGGTGCAGTATTCCAAGCCAACAAGTAAAAAAAGGATACAAAAACAAAATAAAAGGAAAGCAAAGAAAGCTAGGGCAACAAGAATGGAAGCTAACTGCAAAAGAGTTGTTGGAACCATTGCACCTCAGCAAGAGTCGCATGATGTTACAGAGCCTATTGGCCCATTATCTCTTCATTATGAAGGAACAAGTGGGCTCCTCAAAACACAAAGGCCATATATCCAATATGCCTTTGAAAAGGGATTGTTCACCAAAGAATCACAGGACATTATCAAGCAATATCTACCCTTCAACTTAAATGAAAATCATGATGACGATGAAAGTGATTGTATCAATGCTGATGAGATAAATGATGATGATCAAGATTCTCACAGCAGCATTGATGGTGATGCTGAAGACAGTGATGAATAGGATAGCCAGAACTCTACTAACATTATTAATAACAACATTATTCATAATTTCAATAAGACTTTATAGCATTGTTATAAATGAAAAGTACATGTTTGTTAAATTCTTGCTATAGTACTTCACAGTTTATATCCATAACGTTCCGTAAACCGTTGTATTTTTCTCTTTCTTTTGCCAAATAAAGAACTTCCTTTTTCTTCTGTGGGTGAACCTCTACATGATCACGGGCATATATTTGCATGACCCTCCCCCTTTTAACTGCCCATTTTTCATGACCCCTCCCTTTTCTGAGGCTCAAAAAGTTGTGACCCCCCCTCCCCCCCTGCTAATTTCTGACAAGTCCCTTAGGTTTGAAGTGGGAAAACTTGTATTATTTTGATAGGACTTTGCCGATGGGATTGACTTCGAGCTGTGCTATATTTGAAGCTGTATCGACGGCACTTGAGTGGATTTCTATCCACCATCTCGGAGCAAAGTCCGTTTTACACATCCACAGATTTTCTCTTCATTGCGCCGACCAAAGACCAATGCACACGCGACTTGTCGAATTTTGTTTCTTTGTACGAATATATTGGCGTTCCTCTCGCCCCCGAGAAAACAGTAGGTCCAGATTCAGTTTTGCAGTTTGCAGGAATAATTTTAGACTCCGTTCGCATGGAAGCGTGACTTCCAGGTGATAAGCTAGCTAAATGTCGCCAGTTATTGACTGTTTTTCTCGCTTGTAGATCTGTTTGCTTAAAAGAGCTTCAATCACACATAGGCTTACTCAATTTCACGTGTCTCGTCGTCGTACCCGGTCAGGTGTTTTTGCGTCGCTTAATCGATCTTACGAAAGGCGTTCGCAAGCCCCATCATCATATTTGTCTTTCAAAAGGCGCAAAGCTGGGCATCGCACTTTGGCTTAGATTTTTAACAGATTTTAATAGCAAATCCTTTTTTCTTGATGACGCCTGAGAGACATCAGACATGCTTACACTTTATACCGACTCAGCTGGTTCCATCGGGTTGGAGCTGTGTTTGGCAATCGTTGGTTGCATGGTCTTTGGCCGGCCTCTTGGAAGACCTACAATATCGCTGTATTAGAGCTTTTTCCAATCGTCATTGTAATTCACATTTGGGGTTCATAGATGGTTGATAAGTGTGTATTGTTGACATTATTAATAAGCAGACTTCTAAGGACGCATCTATTATGGTTCTCCTCAGGGATTTAGTTTTAAGCTGTCTTACACACAATATCCTGTTTCAAGCTCGCCATATTCCGGGGTTGATCAATTCTCGTGCCGACTATCTTTCACGTTTCCAAGTTGTGAAGTTCAAAGAATTATCACCGGAAGCAGACGACTTCCCCACTAAAGTTCCCGAGAACCTGATGCCGAAGAGTTGGTTTCTAATTTAAGAGGCCTCTCAGGGAGTGCATTGACAGATAGCTCCAGGCATCAATATCAACGTGCTTGGGATGTTTTCCGCCAATTTTATTGTCGTTTTTATGGGTCTGAAAATCCCATTTTACCTTTAGTTCCAAATTGTATTCCACTTTTCATTTCTTACCTCTCTTTTCGGAAGATGGCATACTCTACAATAAACTCCTACCTTTCGGCTATTTCTTATGTACACAAATTAAAGGGCTTACGTGACCCCACCAAGTCTTTCTTAATTCAAAAGTTGTTGACAGCATTAAGTTGGTCTATTTCGCATTGGCGAACTTGTCGTCAAGAGCACGCATTTGGGCTCATCAGTTGTTCAATATCACAGCTTGACCTTTTTGACTTGTAACGGCCTGCCCCATATTGCGAAAATTAGCATTTCCGAATACAAACACAACCCTTCCAAAAGGCCATTTAACATTTTGCTTCCTTCTCTCTGCCCAGTTACTGCTCTCTTGCAGTATACTAGGCTTCGCGGCGATCGGTCAGGTCCACTTTTCTGTAACGCTGATTTTTCGCCTGTGTCTTTACATCAATTCCACACAGAACTTCAGAGGTGTTTAATGTACTGTGGTCTCGATCTTAGCCGCAATAAAAGCCATAGTTTTCGCATTGGTGGTGCTTGTCATGCTGCCGACAATGGTTTTTCTGATGCCCAAATTCGTGCTCTTGGCAGCTGGAAATCGGATGCATTCAAAGTTTATTTACGTTCAGAAATTCATACTACTAATTGATAGACCATTGCAGTCTTGGGCACCACTTCGTTCAGTTAAGGGCTGCGAAGTTGTTGTCATGCCGGTTTTTCCATTATTTCAGTTTGCATGTTTTTATAGTTTTAGCACTGTTTTGCCACGTTTGTAAAGTGGGTCAGACAGGTGGCTGCCATTGACCTCGTGTACGTGTATTCGCTCCAGCGCTTTTAGAGTTTATGTCTTGATCAACGGCGTTTTGTTTGCCAACACAGTTCAGACAAGTAGCTGCTTTTTTGCCAACTTCTTCTTTATAGCTTCAGGTAATTCATGTTACTTAGAGCCAAGTCACACTAGAGGACAAAACTGTTTATTTATGTCAAAAATCTGTCATCACAATGAAAAACCAAGTGCGACCGGTTTGTTAACCAAAGGACAAAATTTGGTCGCGGGCGGACAAACTTCAAAGATGCCGTCGACTACCTCTGGAGCAGGCCAAATTGAGACAAATTTTGGAAAACAATAGCAAGGGTGTTTTAATTCGGAAATGATTTGACAGGTGATATGTAGCAGAGTCTCTATGCTATAGACTTCGCGGCAAAATTGGTCACGTTCTCATTTCGCAACAACATGAATCCAGGCACGGGCAACCAATACTTTCCATATGAAATGGGGCAACAATATCCTCAATATCCACCAGGATGGATATATCCGTTGCCTAGCACTTACAATTTTAATGATCGAGGAACTGCAAGCCCATCTCCCTCAACCGCAAGTTCTGGCTCGTTGTCAGAATCCTTTCCGTTCGTCGAAGACGGCTCAATGCCGGAATCATCCCAAACTTCTTCGCGCCGTACATCTTCGAGAACAAGAAGGCCCAGGAACGATGGACTAAAGATGAGGAAAAACTGTTAGTCCAACTATGGGCTGAAAAACACGATCAGTTGGAAAGCAGAGAGTGCAGGAAAACGTGGGCCTGGATCGCTGAGAAGATTTCGAAAGCGCTACAGTCCAACAAGACAGCCGACAAATGTATTCGGAAAATGAAGTACATCATAGAAAGATACAAGAATGCAAAAGATTGGAACAAAAACCAAACAGGATGAAACCTTAGGAAATCCGTCTACTACGATGAGGTCGATACAATTCCTTGGATGCCGCGACCTAGTAACCTTCAATAATGTAGCCGAAGCGGGGATCAGCGGCGAAAGTACCCCCAAGTTGTTGCTGAATCAAGTGATACTACTGGCAAGAACAGTACTTCATCTAGCCCCAATGTGCTACAAACTCCAGCTGAAAAGAGAAGAGTGTCAAAGAAAGGGAAACGAGCTTCGAAACGCAAAGCTCCTGATAATGACAGCGACGAAGAGTTCAAGATGGCTCTAAAGGATATGAGGCAGCAGGGGGAGAAAGTTACAGCATTTATGGATTCTTTGCAACAATCACAGACGCAGCAGCTAGCCATGATGAACCAATTTATGGGCTCCATTGTGAAAATCCTTGGCCAACAGAATGAGAAAGACAACTGAACTTTAATTCAAGACTGTTTTGGACTATTGGGAGACAATCATTATTGACCATTATCAAAAGACATGTTATTGTTTATGTTGCGAATCGATCAAACGAAATTATGGAAACAAATGAATGTACTGCTTGAACTGATTTCTTGTTGTAAATGCAAAAATTATCTTTATCACACACTTCTCTTTAAAAAGGGATTTGAAGAATCATAGACTGTTTTTTAGCAACTCTCTTATATCTTCCCCGTCCTGCATTAAGTCATTGTTCTGTTCGTTTCCACGGTCATCATCGTCATCGTAAAAATCATCCTCCCATTCGTCCCCAATTTTAATGCAAAAGTTATGCAGCACTGCACAAGCAATGGCAATCTTCACAGAAAAAGTTATTCTGCTATCCAACCACTTTTGTAGAATTCGCCAACGACTTTTGAGGCAGCCAAAAGCGCACTCGATGGTTACTCGTGCAGACGACAGTTCCTTATTAAATGTTATCTCGCCTGGGTCACGCGTCGCTTCAGGATAAGGCTTCATAAGCCAGGGGGAAATAGGGTATGCGCCGTCTCCTACCAGATAAGGCTGAATATCTGTGATGCTGATTCTTTCAACGGGTTCCTTGAGTATATCTCCGTTGCTTGCTCTTAGATAAAGCGAGCTGTTTCAATATACCCTAGCGTCGTGGATACTTCCCGGATAACCCGCTGCAAAGTCAAGAAATAATCCCTTACTGTCAGCAACAGCCTGAATAATGAAATCATGTTGCTGATTTCGACTAATATAATCAACAGCACTGTCTCTAGGAGCAACTATTTTGATATGAGTGCCATCTATGGCCCCAACAATGTTTGGAAGTCGTGATTTGTCCGTAAATGTCTCTATACACCTCATTGTCTCGGCCACTGTTGTTGGGAATTCGATGTACTTATTCCTTAAGTCATAAAGAGCCTCAACCACGTCTTGACAAGCCTCTATTGCTGTAGTTCTGCCGACGTTTAGCGCAGGTCCTATTGTTTCGTATGAATTTCCGTGTGCAAGGCGAAGCAAACCACAAGCAAGGACCTTTTCAGGAGTGAGGCAATTTCACAGAACTGTATTCTGTCTCGTCAGCCGGTTACGAATTACGTTGAGTAACAAATCAAAGCTTTCTCTGTTCATTCGTAAGAGCCTTTGAAAGTAGTCCCCAGGTATTGTTCGATCAGTATAATGGATCTCGAACCACGATTCGACTGGACGAGGAAGAGTCCAATAGTATGGTGCTCGTCTTCGATAACGATTTCGTTGTCGGCGAATACATCGTGTCACTAGAATGTTTTGTGCACGTAAATTCTGCATTAATAACAGACAACATATCATTAAATTGATATTGATATTTGCTTGCTGATGAAGAACCAGAAAATAGAAGAAAAATATTATTGCTAGAATTCTTCGTGGAAACATTTTGAGATCCCTCGTGTCGTGGTTTGTGGATTGAAACAGCGGGTAAAGGCTGCTTCGCGGGAAATTGCGTGACGCTCACAGCATGGTGTGATGTTTTGTTCACAGATTTTGTTCTCAAGTGCGACTGTAGCTTTCCGGACAAATTTTTTGTCACTGGCCGATTTCAAGTCAGATTTGTCCTGGACAAATCTGAAATTGTCCTCTAATGCGACTTGGCCCTTATCTCGATGAGGTGAATGCTTTCCAGGGGGTTCAGACAAGTGGCTGCCGTTTTTAGATTGCATTCTCTCTTTGATTTTAGTCACATGGGACTGTTCAGACATGGGCTGCAGTCTTCATGGATTTTTGTGTAGAGTTGCTTTCCCTCCCTTACGTGAGCTTTGCATTTTTATTCTTTCTTTAATTTGTATTTGTCGTGTCTGTTCGTTTTTGTGGGGCTTCAGCCACAGTTTGTGGCTTGTGGCGTTTTTTGTCGCCCCACGTTGACATTATCGGTTGATAAGTTCAGATATTCCGCTCTTTGTTATCACTTAGTTATAATTGATTTAATTAAAACTGCCACAGTTTATGGCCAAATTGTTCCAAATCATCTGTTGTGTTTATTCTAGCATTTTCTTCACGTTGGGACATCTTTTTTGGGCAGAGCTCACGTAAAGGGACGTTTTTCTTCGAAACATGCATCGATATAAAGACAAACATTATGTCTAGACATAATGTTTTTTATGTCGGGGCATGTTTATATGATAACCCGTTGGGAGGTTTGTACCAGGTACGAACAGTAACCAATCAGTAGTAAGGGCGGAGTTTGCTATGTTTAAACCAGGAGAAATTCCTTGATTTGCCCTTCTATCCCTCGCCATTCGAACGTCAAGTGCTCAAGAAATCTTTTCCCTCCACCACCCCTATCACCTTCCAACAGGATCTCAATATTTCTTTAATTATCCAATTCATCATTAGCCTTATCCATTGTGTTTCATGGTGGCGTTTTTTGTCGCCCCAAGTTGACATTATCGGTTGATAAGTTTAGATATTCCGCTCTTTGTTATCACTTAGTTATAATTGATTTAATTAAAACTGCCACAGTTTATGGCCAAATTGTTCCAAATCAGCTGTTGTATTTATTCTAGCATTTTCTTCACGTTGGGACATCTTTTTCGGGCAGAGCTCACGTAAAGGGACGTTTTTCTTCGAAACATGCATCAACATAAATAAATTTTTTTTATAGCAGCTCGATAGGACTCATATACGGCAAGCACGCACACTAGGTTTTAATCTATTATAAAGATTATTATTTTTTATTATTGTTGGAAGCCAATGTTGTGTTTATTGTTTTTAATTTTTTCCCCTTTAACTATAGTGTATACTTAATTAAACATGGAACTACAATGATTGACTGTACGGTATTTAGTATTAGATATGCAACTCTACTGGAAGTATTATTTTCATGACAAAAATTATTCATGAACATAAATGTTTTACATGTTGTTTAAAATGAATTTCAGGCCAAAATGATTTCAAACCAGTTTGAAATGCATTTTCATTGTTTTGGAAATTTATCGTACTGGGTCACTCCACGGTAATGTGAAACTAGATTTTGGTTTGTAAGAAGTATCAAATTTGTCTAAGATTAATTAAAAACTAAAAGTGAAATGTTTAAAGTTGACAGTTTAAGCAATCAATTAATTAATCATACAATTTCCTGGTCATATTTTTTCAAAAATAGTAATTTATTCTGCATGTATTGCCAAAAGCCGTTGTGGAGAAGACAAATGTTTTTTGACTTATTAGAAAAGCTGATTATTTTGTTTGAAAAGCCGCTCTGGGTCCTCAATATTATAAACATGGTCTAATACGATGGACGTACCTTGCTTGAGTAATTAAAAACCAGTGCGAAGAATTGGACTTTCCAAAGTCGTAATGTCTTCTCCGCAACGATTTCACTATTAAGAGTTTTGATTGCAAAAAGAAAAACAGGCCAAAATGTTTAAATTTTCCAAATGTTCTAATTAATAGTCAGTTTAATGTTTTATTTTTGTTGCGGAGGAGACATTTTCATTGCCATGAAGACAGCTACGAAAGCAAGACTTGTTTTTGGAGGCCAGCTTGCCCCGCCGGACTGGCAGAAAGCATTGGGCATGAGCAGTAAACTGTTGCATTGTGGATGCACTATATCTAGTTGGCCATCTTGGACACTGTGTCCAGTCAGCTATTTTGATTTTGTTTGTAGCCATGTTAACTAGTATCGAGAGGAGTACGAAATACCAGGAGAGGTTGAAAAACGACGAGAAGAAGCTAGCACAGTACAGAGAGAAACAGAAGAGCGAGAGAGGACAAGAGGAATAAAGAGATTTTGTCAGATGCAAAGAAGGCAAGGCAGAGAGCAAGGCAAAGGAACTGGAAAATATCGTATAGAGCCACGCAGAAGGTGCAGATGAATAAAGAACGACAAGAACCAGACATCGTGAAAAGTCAGTTCCTGACATCCCAAAGCTAGGAAAGGCAGTCAGAAAGATGCATAAGAGCCTTCCCAAAAACCCCCAAAAAGTTCCTGAAGTGCTAGGAAACTGGTGCATCAACTGTCACCTCAGAAAGGCAAGGCAATAATTTCAGCTTGTGACACCAATGCAAAGCAGCACAAGGTCCAAAGGAGAATGAGTTAAGAGATAAGATTCTCTTTCAGAGGAAGAAATAAGGCAAATTGAGGAGTTCTATCTAAGAGACAACATAAGCAGAATTCTTCCTGGCAAAAAAGATAAAGTGTCTGTGAATGCTGAGAGTGGCAGAGAAGCAATACAAGAGCGATTGCTACTAGTAAATCTGCGCGAAGCACATGCCTTATTTAAGGAGGGTTTGAAGTTGAAGGTCGGATTTTCCAAGTTTGTGTCTTTGAGGCCTCCGCAAGTGCTGCCTATGACCCTTTGTGATCAAGAAGTTCGCATGTGCAAATATCACTAA